CCTGGGCAAGTCACTTAACCCCAATTGCCTAAAAAATAAATAAATAAATAAATAAAATAAAGTTCCTTCCAGCTTGAGATCTAGGAGCCTGTGTGTGACCCAACACAAGTTACTTTCCCTCCCTGGGTCTCAGTTTCTTCCTTTTTAAAATAACTGGATGACCTCCTGACAAAGGGGTGATTTGTTTTGTTTAACTATACATACATGTTTCAAGAATTTTTTTTTTCTTTTCTACAAGAGAGGTAGACATTAGATAAAAGGGAGAGAAAATAGATTTTGTTAATTGAAAAGAAATAATTTAACTCAATAAGTAAAACAAGGTAGGCCAAGATGGCCACTGAGGTCCCTTCAAGCTCTAAATCTACAATCCTATGATCCCATGATGCCTCTGGCAATTCATATGTCTGAGAGCAGCACTACTCTATAAGCAGCTACAGCAAAGCATGGGGGTGTGTGTGCATGCACACACATGTGCGCACACGTGCATGATGAAAAAGCTTGGCTCCAAAGCTGCAGAGGATAGAGCTCTTCTCCCAGGCCAACCCAGCAACAGCCATCTCTGAATAATGTCCTTCCTTTCTTTCCACCTTGCTGTGAAGACCAATCTCACTGGGCCCTAAGACTGTGAAAATCCACAGCTGCCCACCTCCCTTGTCCCTGCCAGCCCACAGGGCCCACAGGCCTCTGCCCACTGCCCGGAATGTGAGCCGGGGCCTTGGTGGCCGGCTTTCCTGTCCACGAGGCTGTCTGGATTCTTCAGCTCCTCAGGCCAGCACAGTTCGAACACATCAGCCATGCCAAATAATAATCCACAAACAGTCACTTATTGTTTCCAAGCAAAGGAAAAGAAACCTGGGAAATTACAGGCCATTGAAAATTTTGAAAAATCTTCCAAAGAGTACACATACAAGCATACATAACATAGATATGTGTATGTACGTGTGTATATGTGTATATCCACACACCCACACAGACATACATATATATGTATACACACAGGTACATACATATACACAGACACAATATACATATACAAACACATATACACATACACACACATACAAATCACCCTATTAGTTAAAAGTGCTACTAATCCTTCTGAGCTCAGTGCTTGTTTAGGATGAAAACCCAGACAAAAGCCAAACCCAGATGGCCCATACCCTGTTGGGGGGCAGCTGATGCTGATTGCTAAAAGGAAGGGCTATTGTTTCTTACTCACCTGGATAAGTGGAGGTACATGGGCTCTGGAGGCCTGGGGAGAAGACAGGGAGCCGGGCGTTCTCCCGCCAGGAGCAGAGGTGCGTGCGAGCCACCAGCTCCATCGCCCCTCACTTCCCTGAGGTCCTCCAGTTCGGTTCTAGCCTGCATAGGAATGGACTTCGGTGGAGCAGGAAGTACCTGGCAAAGAGAGACAAGGTTTAGAAAGACCCGGTTTCTAAGAGGAACCCTCAAGAAAGCTGCTGTTGGCTGAGGGTAAAAGATGAGTTAGCCAAATCACAACAAACTCATTCCCATACAAGATAAACAGAGCACAGTGAGATACGCTGGGACACTGACCCCTGGCAAGCCCAGTCATCGGCCTTATCAGCTGGCCACCAAGAACCAACCTCCCCCTCATTTGGTTATTGGCTCCCAAAGCTCTCCCACCCAGGAAGTGGACCCAGAACTCTTAATCATTGTCCAGTTCTGCTACAGCAGGAGGGCAGGGCTTCCAGTCCTCTGGGATCCAGAGTGAAGGTTCATTTGGAGGAAAATGTTGTAGACGCTTTTTATGTTGCTTTCACAGAAACATATGCAAGGTACAAACTCGTGGCAATTTTTCTGAACACACATACACAAAGACAAAGTGTGTATATTGATGGGGTGGGGGAGGGGGGACTCATGGGAGGGATGCCTTGACTTTCCCATAGGATCAGAGGCCTAGAGCTTGAAAGATGAAAACAAAGGTAGACAAATAGAAATCAACCTGAGGGATGACAAGGTAACCCTAAGAAAGCACCCAATCTGTGGTCCAGTCCTTCAAGCCAAGACAGTAGAGCTGAACATCTAATGCGTTACTTCTGGCTATGACAATTAGCATGATCTTAGATGAGAGATTAATTAGAAAAGAGGGAAGTTGCCCCTTGACCTTCCCTGATGGAGAAAACAGAAGACGAGTTCAGCATGTAATGAGCAGATCTCTTTGGGAACAAGGGTGGAGGGAAGAATGTACAGAATGACAAGGTTGGGTGAAGAAAGTGCATGACACTAGGGTGGATGAAGGGAAGAGAACGTCCTGGAAAAAGCAGCCAACCTTACTGTACCCTTCGGGTGTCCTGGCCCTAGAGCTGGAAGGGACCTCAGAAGTCAAGTTCGACCCCAGAGAAGCCCAGAGGGATTAAGTCAGAGATATTTCTCTTAAAAGATTCTCAATTTATAACTGGAAGGGACCTTAGAGGCCATTTAGTCCAATCTCTGCCATTTTACAGAGGAGGAAACTGAGGCCTAGAGAGGTTAGGTGACTTGTCCACAATGGAACAGCTCTTAAGTATCTAAGGCAAGATTCAAACTCAGATCTTTGCTGACTCTAAGTCTAGCACTCCACCCACTGTTACAATTAGTCTCAAAAAAAATTGAAACCTGGAGATGGGAAATGCCTTGCCCAAGGTCACTCAGGCAGTAAGTGCCACAACTGGCATTCAAACCTGGGTTTTCTGAGACCAAATCCAGTATATTGTCCACTGTGCCACTGTCCTCTTCTCTCAAGTCCCTTGTCCCTTTATTCTATCGCCAATCTTGCCCTGCCAGGCCCAAGTCCTGGATCACTCCCACCATCCACTGTCTTCACTCTTACTCACGTGCTGCTAAATAAAGCTGGGGGGGGGGTGGGAATCCACCAAACCATGCTGGCTGGATTCACCACAAAGTTATGCTATATGATCTTGTCTGGGCCCTCACTGCTGCCAGGCAACCCATCTCTACCTACCTTATCAATTTCCTCTCACTTTCCAAAGCAGCTCTTCCAAATGTTTTCTAACTTCCCAAGGCTTTCCCTCCCCCCACCCTCTCAGGTAAGAACTCTGCCTCATATTTTACAGAAGAATATTGAGGCCATTTGTTGTGAGCTCCCTCTTCATCTCACATCATCCAGATACCTCCTACCATTATGTCCACCTTCACAAGTGATCCCATTACGTTCAGTCTCCTCTAGCAGACTGCCCCTCCCTCTCTAGCACTTAACTCTATCACTTAATTTCCATCTTTCCCTGTCTACTGGCTGCTTCCCTACTTCCTACAAATATGCCCACAACTTCCCCATCCTCAAAAATCCTCACTTGGGACCCACATGTACAAAAATATTTGTAGCAGCTCTTTTTGTGGTGGCAAAGAATTGGATGTTTAGGGGATGCCCATCCATTGGGGAATGGCTGAACAAGTTGTGGTCTATGAATGTAATGGAATACTGTTGTTCTGTAAGAAATGGTGAGCAGGTGGATTTCAGAAAAACTTGGAAAGACTTGTATGGACTGATGCTGAGTGAAGTGAGCAGATCCAGAAGAACACTGTGCACAGTAACAGCAACACTGTGCAATGACCAACTATGATAGACTTAGCACTTCTTTTTTTTTTAGGCAATTGGGGTTAAGTGACTTGCCAAGGGTCACACAGCTAGTAGGTATCAAGTGTTTGATCTGAGGCCGGATTTGAACTCAGGTCCTCCTGATTTCAGGGCTGGTGCTCTATAGACTTAGCACTTCTCAGCAATACAATGATCCCTTTTTCTTTACTCCTCTGTTACTGTGGAGGGCACCACCCTCCTCCAAGTCACCCAGGCTTGAAGACCCAAGACAATTCCTAAAGACTCATGATGGAAAATGCTATCCACATACAGAGAAAGAACTATGGAGTCTGAATGCAGATCAAAGCATACTATTTTCACTTTTTTTTCTTTCTTGTGGTTTTTCCCTTTTGTTCTGATTCTTTCACAACGTGACTCATGTGGAAATATGTTTAACATGACTGCACATGTATAACCTATATCAGATTCCTTGCTGTCTTAGGGAGGGGAGAGGAGAGGAAGAAAAATTTGGAACTCAAAAATCTCATAAAAATGAATGTTGAAAACTATCTTTACATGTAATTGGAAAAACATACTATTAAGTGGGGAGGGGGGAACCCTCACTTGCTCCGCTCAGCCCCACTAGATGTGATCCCATATCTCTCCTCCTTTTTGCAGCTAAGCTCCTGGAAAAGGTCATCTACAATTGATGCCTCCATTTCCCTTCCTCTCTTTCACTCTCTTCTCTCTACAGTCTGGCTTCCAACCTCATCATTTGCCTAAAACTGCTCTCTTCAAAGTGATCAGTGATGACTTTGGTATCTAAGAAGGTCTTTTCTTAGTCCTCACCCTTCTTAACCTGAGAGTGCCTGACACGGGCAATCGCCCTCCCCTCCTCAATCTTCTCTTCTTTCTAGGTTGTCGGGACATCCCTATCTCCTGGTTCTCCGTCTACTTCTTTTCAGTCTCTTTTGTTTGATCTTCATCCAGGCCATGCCCACTAACCCTGGGTAGCCCCAGGGCTCTGTTCTGGGTCTTCTCTTCTCCTCTATACTATTTCTCACAGTCATCTCATCATCTCCCAAAGATTCACTTATCACCTCTAAGTTGACCATTCTCAGATCTACCGATCTAGCCCAACCTCTCTGCTCACCTCTAGTCTTGCCTCCTGGACATCTTCAACTCAACAAACCCGAAACTGAACTCGGTATCTTTCTCCCTGCCAAACTCACCCCTCTTCTTCACTCCCCTGTTACTGTGGAGGGTACCGCCATCTTCCAAGTCACCCAGGCTTGAACCCTAGGTGGGATCCTTAACTCCTCACTCTTTCACCACCCCACCCTTATGGCCAATCAGTTGCCAGGGCCTGTTGATTTTTTGTAATGTCTCTTGTATACTTCCCCTTCTCTCCTCTGATACTGCCACCACCCTGGTGCAGGCCCTCATCACCTCATTCCCAGATTATTACAAGAGCTACTGGTTGGGATCCCTGCTTCCAGTCTCTCCCCACTCCAATCCATCCTCCATTCAGCTGTCAAGGTGATCCTTGTAAAGCACAGGTCTGACCATGTCATCTCTTCTAATCAATAAACTCCAGCAGCTCCCTATCCCCTCCAAGATCAAATAGAAAATCTCTGTTGGTCACTGAAAGCCCTCAACGTCCCCCGTCACCTTTCCAGTTTTCTTATACCCTCACCACCTCTCCCCTGCTGCCCCACATATTCAGCCTCCTTGTGGTTCCTCACACAAGACAAGACACCCCATCTCCTGATTCTGGGCATTTTCCCTGGCTGGCCCCCATGTCTGCATTTCTCTTTTCTCATCTCCCCTTCTTGACTTCCCTGGATTCCTTCAAATCCCAGCTAAAATCCTACCTCTTGCAAGAAGCCATGGCGATCCCCTGAAAGCTAGTACCTGTTAATCATCTCTAATTTATCTTGTCTATGGCTTGTTTGTACCTATCAGTCTGCAGGTTGACTCCCTCATTAGATCGTGAGATCCTCGAGGGCAGGGACTATCTCTGACCTTGGTATCCCCAGTGCTTAGCACAGGGCCTGGCACACAGTAGGCACTCAATAAATGTTTATTGACTGACTGACCACTCTCCCTCTCTTGGAGAAGTATGTCCCTGAGTTCCATCATAGTGAATATGATGTTCCTATTTCTCCACAATCAGTATTGGATTCTTATGGGGGTTTTTCCTGATATTTATTCGGTGCCCTGAACAGAGGCCCTTGGCAGCAGAATATCCAAGTAGAACCGAACACTTCCTCCTTCAAGTAGGGTCAGCAAAGGCCATTTGTCATGGCCTCCATTTCCCCAAAGGACTAGCTGTGTTCAGGAGTGAGTAGTAACACTTTGAACTAATGGACTGGTGGGGGAGTACGTGAAGATGTGTACGCTGTGCTGACAATTTTTTCAACATTTCAAATGCCTATAATTTACCAGATTTATTTTCCTTTGCTTGGGAACACTAAGTGACTATTTGATGATGATTATTTGGCATTCAGAGTGTGCTGGCCTGGGGAGATGAAGAATAGCAATAGAATCGTGGAGGAGAAAACGTGTGGGCAATGGGCAGGGGCTAGGATTATACTGACGCACATAGCCTCTGCTCCTGGAGACCATGTGGGAGGCGAAGGGCCTCAGGCTCCCATGAAGCCCAGCTCCTTGTTTACTGTTTCCTGCTATGGATCATTCATGTTGTTCTGCTCTGGATTTTTCCCTTATTTTTATGAACTTCATTAGCCCCATCTCATTATTCTTTAGAGTAAGAAATAAGAGAAAGGAAGGAAGTCACCAGTGGAGAAAGCTTTGCTTTGGAAGATGCAGCCCTTGGGTTCAACTCCTGTCTCTCATACTTATAACACGTAAGGGGTAAGTGGCAAGTCCCTTCC